GTGTTCTGTTTTTCATCAAAGTGCGGCTCACAAGAGTAATGAATGAACTTTCTTATAGGAAATCCATCAGCCCGTTTCATTGATCGAATTGTACTGACTTTACCATTTTCGATGTCCTAATGGTATATATCTTACCCATTTTCAAAGAAAGAGATCTGCGGATTTCGCGAATGTTGACTACTTTCTTGTGAAACTCATGATACCATAAACACAATTTGTCATAGTTCGCTTCGTTTCATAGATACACACAGTGCTAAATTCAAAATGTTGCCTCTTAGGACCACCTGTATCTGAACGTATAGAAAAAGTAGAAGTTGTCTCTTGTTTGCATTCCCCACGGAGGATCCAGTGGCATACTTAGTCAGATTTTCAAAACGAACTTTTCAGATAGATGCTTTGCGCTTTTCAAAACACATAACATTAAACTTATAATATTTATAGTATTTGCCTTGTATTTTGATAATTTCCAGTTATTTCAGTAGGTATATCTTATTGATGGGCCTTGGCAACATTTTCACGAATGTTCATATTTACCTTGTTGCTGACAGTATTTTCTCACATACTAGTTTCAATTTTATATTAATATACCAAATACACCAATATTCACCACAATTTATTGACTATAAAAGCTGTGATTCTAATAAATATGTGGCAATGAAAAAAAGTGAGTGCAGAATGTTTTGAAATTTTTGTCAACTGACTACCTGTCGTATCAGTAATGGTTGATGATATTGATGGTTGGTTATCATTCGCCATTGTATGAAACAAGACAGGTAGTCAGGTGGAAAGAATTATAAAACGTTCTGCACTCGCTTAGTGTGTGACGAAACAATGTGTCAACAACAAGGTGAATATGAAAGTGTGAAATTATCTGAAACTAAAAATTATCTATATACAAGGCTAATACCCAAAATGTCGTACTTATATAACTGTATTGTGTTTTCGAAAAGCACAAAATATCATTATTCCAATTATTTTGGGATTTTCTCTCCTCGTCTGCTCTATAAAATGAAAATATGAATATTATTTCACCTAAAAGAAAAAATTCACTACTCTCTCTGATAGGAAAATTCTTCAAACGCAGTGACATCTTGGGGCAAATCATCTAATTTGTCCTTACTACACGTATATTGGAATAATATTCATATTTTTATTTTATAGAAACGAAGATAGAAAATCCCAAAAAATTTGGAATAATGAATGTATCACCTCCTCGATTAACCTACAGGCAGTATTTCACAAAATATCAATTCATAAATATAAAAAATATACTGTGTTGTATTTGAAGAAATATGAATTCAGTTATATCTGAATAATGAATAACAGGAGCCAAAATTAATATTTTTTGACATACCCCGTATAAGACTGAAAAACTTTGATATCTAAAATTTAACGACTTCAAGCCTGGCAAAGCTTTTCACGACGAATAACATGTTTTCCTGAAATTGATAAAGAACAAGTTTTGAATTTATTGCCAACTGTTCCAGACTAAGGTTACGTTTCTTATATGATTATCAAATATACAGAGAAGTGCACGAAAAACGGACACAACTGTAACTTCTGAATCATTCAATTTCGGAATTTGAAAATTGGTGGGTAGCAAGTATACTGAATTTCTCATCAATTGACAAGACAATTTTAGTTCGATCACTTCCTGTTTCAGCAGAAACGAACCCAATCTTCAAATTGGACACACTGCGTTATATTCCATAATAGTTTAGGTATTATTATGACGAATTCAGTGATACCAGGTTTGATAGGGTTATTTCAAACGATCACGAAGGTATTTTATTTAGATTTCTTCATAAATGCTCAATGGGTGTTACTTCGCAATATCTGTACTTCTCTGTCACACTCATTGGGCATATGGAAGCTAAGAACGCCATTATCTTCGTAATCGTTTGAAATAACCCTGTCAAACCCGCTATCCTAGAACTCGTTATGATAATCCTTATTGCCAAATCATGGAATAATAAACATTAAAAAATCAGCAGTTGGGATAATTGCCGGTAAAACTGGAAGTGACAGAACTGATATTTTGTCAATTGATCAGGATCTGATCCCGAATGAATCAGAAATAACAGCACTGGCCGTTTGTTGTGCACATCTCTGTACATATTAAAAGTATTCTGATTTTTCCAATCATATGCAGGTAGAATTCTCAAATTTCAAGGAAAAAGAAAGCTTTCAAAGATACATTCCATGATCGAATGCGATTTTTATCAGTGGAATACACTGCTCACCGGTAGCAATGGATTCACTGATATTTCCAAAAGGAGTTTCAGTTCTGAAAAATGTATTCCTCGCCTTACTCCTCATGAAGGCAATCTTGTACATTCGATAATCAGGATGATACAATTTGCTGAAGCGATAAATTGAAGGTATGGAAGGTAAAATCATTTCCCAGATTTTTTTATATCTCTCTCTCTTCATTTCTATAGATAAAAATCATCAGCAACATGCCTTCTCAGTATGACACTTCTCAAGACAATTTGAAAAAAAAACTTTTTCCATTCTTTATGGGATCAGATTCGTTACCGAAATATCAGAGTATAAATTTTCAAGTAATGTGATTCCATATTTTTTGAATATTACTCTTCTTCAACCATTTTCAAAACTGAGTGGCACTGACAACCGAATGAATTTTCCTCTTAGGCTCTCTGATAGAAAATTCTTCGAACGCAGTGATATTATGGGACGGGTCCTGACTACATGAAATGGTTCATATTTTAATTTTGCCTATATTTCGCTTAAATATTTTATTCTTTGACAAAATTCGTTGAGAATGCAATGAAATGTACTCACTAGAATTGAAATCACGAGTCCAATCTGGATCAGTAACGAGGAAACGGAGGGAATAAAGTCATTTTTTTTTCAGTTCTCTGAAGTTGCCGAAAAAAAATTCTATTATTTTGAAAAATTTTCAAACTGTATCATCCTGAAGTTAGGTAAACTATCAATACAAATATCTGTTTTTTTTTATTTATGAATCTAACATGTTTTAGAACGTTTATGCATATTTGTCTCAAAAACGGTTCGTTTATCGGAAAAAATTAAAGATCGAAAAAAGCCTTTAAATTGAACGATCTACACAATTTGATCACTGAAAGATGCCAGAGGCGTACTACGAAGAAGTTTGGAGGGGATAAAAAGCCTCTACCTCCAAAAACGTATCACCCTGTAGATTTTGAAAATCTTCAAAATGCTTGGAATGATGATCTTCTGGGAAGTATTGACTACACCAAATTTCAAAATGATATCCTGAAAAGTAAGCGAGATAGTTCAATTGATAAAAAAAATGATTAAACTTTGACCCCCTGTAGCTCCGCCACTGAACGAGATCGGATAATGTTTGTATGAACTTTTGTGATTAATATAATGAGATCTATCTCCCATTTCAGTTTGTGCCTTAAAACCTGAATCACCCTGTATATTCTTTAGCGTTATAGGAATATGACTGGAAAACTTCCCAAACATTTTTCGTCAAATGGGAAGCATGGGGAATTCTTCAATATTTTCTAGAATTATAATAGTGAAATATTCATTTTCAGAATGAAAACACGGCAGCAGAATATGCATGTTGAATTATCGCGAAGACACTCAATGTTTCATTTTGCGTTTGTTTCAATCAGTAGTTTGATTCATCAAACAATCGAAAATCATCCCAAACAAACCCTGAACAGCATCTATATGCATTCGGCGGTACTAACACAAATATTCTGTGCATCTAACTGTGATGAAGTTATCTGTAATAATTGGATATTTAGTGTATTTACAGAATGCTGTACTGATGAAATACGATTCTGATAGAATACGGTTTTGACGAAATACGGTTTTGACGAAATACGGTTTTGACGAAATACGGTTTTGACGAAATACGGAACTGACGAAATACGGTTCTGACGAAATACGGTTCTGACGAAATACGGTTCTGTAGAAATAAGGTTCTGACGAAATACGGTGATGATGGAATACGGTTCTGATGAAATACAGTTTTGATGAAATATGTTTCTGATAGAATACAGATCCGATGGAATACGGTTCCGATGAATTACTGAAACTATAAAATACAGTGCCGATGAATTGATGTGACGATGGAATACAGTTCCTATACGATACGATTTTGATGAATTACGATTCTGATGTTTTACTGAAGCGACGAATTACGGTTCTGATAGAATACCGTGATGATGAAATACTGTTCTGATGAATTACTGTTATGATCAAATACGGTTCTTATCGAATACCATTTTGATGAATTACATTTTGACGAATCACGTTTTGTTATAATACATACCTACAAATTACGGAGCTATGTTTTACAAAGCGATGAAAAACGTGCTTACAGAATACAGTAACTATCAATTACGGTACCTACGAATTACCATTCTGATGAAATATATTCTTATAAATTATATTTTGATGCATTATATTCTGACGTTTTGGGTGTTCCCTGATGGTCAAACTTCAAATTGCTATCTATGTGAACACCAAGAAATTTCGTGACAGACTTGCTCTCAATGAGTTGATCTCCTAGAGCAATTTGTTCAATCTCTGACTTGAATGTCACTAAGTTTGTTTTAGAAACATTCAGAGTTAGCATATTAGCTTCACACCAAATTTTAATTTTTTCAACGTCCACTGAAATAGACTGAGCCAGACTAGCTCGATCTTCGTTATGCCAGTTGATGATAAAGTAGTCATTTTTCTAACAACTGCCTGAAGTGCAACTTTCCGCACGCGAGTACAGTTAGACTAACGAGTTAAAATAAGATTTTGCGTACGGCAAAATAATTGAAAAAATTATGATTTTTCTACAAATGATTAACAATGTAGCCTTTGACACTGTCAAATCTTTACACACAAAATGTCATTATTTGACAGCATTTGCTAATGAAAGAACGCACCTACTGATACAGCCGAAAGGGCAAAAATTGTTACTGTGAACCTCCTATTCTCTTACCGAAGAAATCAAGGAAAAAATATGAATTATAACTTACCTTTATCCGTATGCCAAACATACTGCACCCAAACGTAAGTACTCGCCGCAAAAAACAGCCAATGTACTGGTATGAAGAAGAAACACAGCATGTCGGAAGTCAATGCTATGCACACGAAAAATATCGAAAAAGCTAAGCCTTGATATTTAAAAGAGTCATACACTGAACGGAGGAGAAGATAAAATGGCCAGAGGAACTCGAAACGGAATTCCAAGATGAAGTCTGCTAAGATCACTAGCACCCAGAGAATTATGAATTTCAGGTAGAGAAGTGTGCTGAAACAAAATAATCAAATTGAAGTGAAGTATGTACAGGGTGATCCACAATGAATTCCCCCTGTAACGTTCTTCCTTACAAAGATATTTGAAAATTCCAAAAGCCAGTTGGTGGAACATTTTATAAAAAACTTCAGAGTGTAATAATGGAAAACTGCACTAACAAAATAAAAGAGATATGAAAAATGATTTGAGGCGCCAATTCAATTTTTCTAACATTGAGTAAAATGGCATCTAAATTCACTAGAATATAAAGGGTGTTTCATTAAAAAATATTTTTAGGGTTTCTCTTCTATTTCATTCGTTCAGTTTTTCTTTAGTATACTCTGAGGATAATTAAGAAATGTGCCACCAACTGGCTTTTGAAATTTTCAGTTATCTTTATGAACAAGGAAATTTCGAGGTGGGAATTTATGGTGTGGATGATTCATATTCAAATAACTGAATGGTATGATTATTTTGACCTGAAGTACCACAGTTTATGTGAACAGTACCTAATTGATTCATGATGATGATCTAGATCACTTGTATCTAGAAAAACTAGGAAAGAGCAATGATGTTATACATTTTCAAATAACTCAATGGCATGATCATTTTGACCTGAAGTGCCACAATGGGGAAGTTTCCTATATTGAGGTTCTCATCTCACTGTGAAGTTTGGAAAAAATTAATATATACGTGTGTTTTTTTCGTAAGATCAAATTTCATTTAAAAAAAAATAAATAAAAGAAGAACTTGGCTCCTCCACCATTCCTATGGCGTACTTTCTGAAAATCCACATTCACACAGAGTTAAAATACGATTCCCTGTGCCAGTACGACGTTGCCGACATCATCAATATGTCTAGATTTCCGAAAATTGTTCTTTGAATGCATAATAACTATATCATAACAGCAAAACAGCAATGGAATATAATAGGTTCTTCAATCCTACTTAGTCAAGTATTATTAATAATTTCCATAAATCTCTCATTGCGATAGTATCTGTAATTTTTCACTATCGTTATATTACGATATGTTATTCATTACGTTTCAGTCATTTTTTTTGCGAATTAATTCGTTCCTTAATAAAACGGTTCTATTTTCTAAGAAAGTTGCAGATTATATCTTGCAACAGCGCCTATCACTTCGAGTCCGTCCACACCACTCAAAATACACACAACACAACAAGAGGAAGGAGTCATGGGTGTCGGCTTCATTCTGTTCTGACCGATGACAGTAACTTAGAATGTAGCCGATAGTGATTCATTGATTCAATTATATTTTCGTTTAGGATCGAGCTCTATTGGAGATATTTCAATGCATAAATAACAAAGCCATAACCTGTTAGAATGAAGCCAACTACCATCTGCATTCCTGCTCCGAGTGCATTTGTGGTTATGTATGTTTCTGTTTACCAGTTTTACTTCTTCTTCTATTTTTTTCATTCGTTTTTCATTCGTTAGCTATTCGTTAGCTATTCATTTGCTATTCGTTAGCTATTCGTTAGCTATTCGCTAGCTATATTCTTCACCTTCAGCTATTTTCAGACAAGATTCAGAATGTACGTCACAGTTTGCCGCCCCGAAAATTAGAAATTGCTTTAATTTGAAAATGAAAACGACTTGGACTTTATCGGTCGCCATTCTGAACAGCGTGGACATGATACTAGAGAGTTGCGAACTTATTTTATGGAAATTCATTTGAAGGAAACTTCCACATTGTTGTGAACAGGTTTATCCACATCAACTGGAGCGTCTCGTGCCGCATCTGCCACTTCAAAGGGAACTTCAAACCCACCGACGCCGCGCGGTGCGGGAGATGCTGCAATTGACTCTGGATAGACCTTTCCTAATTAATTCATGAGTTTGTTTCGATTCTCGAGAAAAACCAGGAAAGACCAATGATATTATCACGTGTATTTTGAAAAATATTTGTTTTTTTTTTCGAAATTCCAAAAAAGGGGCTCTGTGGTGTTAATTTTTGCCCGACATAATATTGTGAGATATACATATCATCAATTACCATCAGAAGAACACATTTATGGAAAAAACTCCCATCCACGTGTATTTTGAAAAAGTTATGATTTTTTTTTCGAAATTCCAAAAATGGGGGGCTGTGGGGTTGATTCTTGCCCGACAAAATATTGTGAGATATACACATCATCAAGTACCATCAGCAGAACACATTTAAGCAAAAAGCAAAAAACTCCCATCCATGTGTGTTTTGAAAAAGTTATGATTTTTCTCCGAAATTCCCAAATAGGGGTTCTGTTAGGTTTATTGTTGCCCGACAAAATATTATGAGACATACATATTATTAATAGGACCCTTAGAGGAACACGTTAATGGAAAATTGTTTCATCCACGGACATATTTTGGAGGTTTTAGTAATTTCATGGCCAGCCACGAGTATAAATCAGTAATGAATAATTGGCGAATTCGTGGCTGGTTTCACACTGTTAATAGCGAGGATAATAGACTGATTGAAATCAACTTGCCTCTATACTTAAATGCACCGTTGAGCTGTGAGAGGGCGATGAAGAATAATTTTATTTACAGATTTTCCTGAATATTCCAAAATCCTTGAAAGGTACTGCTCTAACATTCGTAGGGCAATTTACTATCATGGATGTGCATGAAAACTATGTCATACCAATTCAATCAAGAAACAGGAAGATAGATATTTCCGATATTTCACCTCTTATTTCACATTATCTCTGACATCTCTATCATATTTTGCAAATTTCTACCTCATTTGTGTTATTGACCTTAGATATATAGGTAGAAACTTGCAAAACATGGTAATCCTGACACATCATTAACAAGTATGGAGAAGCACCAAAATTAATTATATTACATATCTCGAAAACCAAGGAAAATTATAAAAAACTGCAGTTAGAAAAAAGTAATATAATTGATTTCATCATTCATTGAAATGTCGTAATGCAGTATTCTAGAGCAGTACCTCCAGAGGATTCTGAAATATTCAAGAAGGTCTGGAAATGAAATTATTCTTCAACACCTTCTCATGGGCTCATGGCCCAATGTTGCAGTTTCAAATAGATTTAAGTTGACTTTATTTGGCCTATTTTGGTCTCTAGTTCACCTTGTAGAATTTATGGTATGTTGTTCTGGTACATATTGTATATAAAAAAAAATTGAAAAGAATTGATCACCATATCTGGTGTCAAAATTTGATTTGTTTTATCCAGATAGAATTTGATTATTATGATGATTATTAATGACCTAGTTACAGATTGCAGCATGTTATCTGATTTTGAAGAATGAGAAATGACATTGTTGTTGGAAAAAAGAACACAAACTGATTAATTTTTCAATATATTGTACTCGCTTTTGTAGTAAGAATGGAACAGATAATTTTCCCCAAAATGTCCTTGTGCTTGAAATATCAGGATTAGAAACCTAAGAGAGAATTACAATAGATAGTCAGTGACACCTTGTTTGAAAAATGGTTGATGTAATTTGTTTTTGAAAAAAAAAAAATACATTACCTTGTCTTGCCATGTCTCTGAACCTCATGGGGAAAAACAAAAATGCTTAGGAATAATCCAAAAATCCATGGAAATGTATATATTTATGAAAATTAAATTAACATCCAATGAACTAGTCATTTCTTATCTTCTTAATATCAAAAATATCTTCAAAAATACCTGAATTTACGTTTATGTTCATTCTAAAAGTTATTTTTTTAACAAAGTGAAAATTTGGAAGGACATTTGAATTTTAGAAAAAAAAACTACTGGATTTTTTTTTGTTTTCTCTTTCCAAAAGAGGATGTTGGGAAAAATATTTGATAAGAAATGTCACCAATTGTGACTTCATGCTTTCCAGATCCATATTACAGATGATTTAAATGTTTTTTCTGTCTAGACCTTAGTCTGGACCTTGGTCAATACCTGGGACAATATTATTTGTAACCTAGTACCAGGGTGAAAACCTTGATCAAAATGGGATCAGTGTCTGGTTGAAATAGGATTGGCCTCAGGATGGGTTTTATTCCTGATAAAAAATGAGTGTAAGCCATCTATCAGGGTTTATGGAAGCTGCCAAATTGGTCTGTTTTCTATGATTTTATTGGTTCTCATTTGTTTTTTTGTTTTTACTGATTGGTCACATCCATCATATAAAACTGCTCAGAAGTGCTCAAGTTGTTGCCATCAGGTGGGGCCACATGTTATGTTCTATTTTACTTATTTTAGGCCTGTTTGTTTGTGCTTGCTTTACCTGGTGAACTTGATTTTTTTCTATGACTTTCTTCGTTTGAATCAAGCCATGAACAGAGCCAACTATGGGACAAAAATCAACTTTAGCAAGTTTAGCAATACATATGAACAGGCCTTGTGAATAGGTTGCAGTTGACAGTGATATTGACATACCTACCTCCTACCTTCAACTTTAACCAAAACCTCAACCTTGAGGCATTTCATGGTTAAATTTTGATGTGCCAAACAAATCTAAACCAATAAAAACTAAATACATGGGCCACTTTGACAGCTTTCAAGAATTCTAATAGGTGGGGTATGCTTATTTCCTATGATGAATATATTCAAGGTTGTAATTTGTATTTTCTTCATGTTAAAGATATATTCCATGTTGAGATAGGGTATTGAGAGAAAAGCCTACTACTATGAAATTACAATGAAAAAATATGATGATACATTTTACATTTCAAGATCTAATAAACAACTGTGGGTATTGTGATAACTGCTGTAAGGTATTAAACACTGAATGTCACTCACGAAGCCCTAAAATGATCAAATGTCTCTTATTAGGTATATTCTGTGAATCATTTGGTACATAACTGTGGAATGATAAAAATATTTATGGTAGAAAATGTAGTATGTAGGTACTTGTAATGTACTTGTTGTATTTTGAGCAAGATTTCTAGAACTGCAGATGGTGTCCATGTACACTGCAAGTACCTAATTGGTTCACAAGCAGTGACATCAATGAAATTCTGTTATGAAATGTTTGAAATTGAGGGATATACATAATTATACAAATAATTGTGTTCAAACAGAATTGATTTCAAGATTAGGATATGATAAAGTTAAAAATAAAGTTGTTTTGACAGCTGGTATTCTAACCTAGGAGATTCGCATATACGTAACATTAGACATCATATCATGAGGAATTTGAAATACAAACTATTTTCATACATCATGAGCTCATCCAGAATCTTGAATCAACAGAATTAAGCGAAAATTAGATTTTAGTTTCATGAAACCAGCCATTTTGAACCACATATGGCATATAATACAATTAGACTGTGATTTTTCAGGATGTAAATAGGCAAAGTGTCAATAGTCTAAGCGCGAAATTACCTTCCATAAAATCCTTCAGTAATTTTGTTCTTTTTCATGGGCCTTCTCATCTTAGCAATCTCGGCATTTCGTCTCTTCATAATTTCACTCGTAACCTATACACTATTATGGTTATTGAACTCACTTCACAATGAGATTTGCAAAAATTCGTATTTCTCTCATGGATTTCAGATCACAAAAAATATCTTTTGCGGTAAATCTACTTTGTAGTTTGTTGTCAACTTAGTTTATTTTGAACCCGCTTGTTTAGAGGGCAGCACTTCTAATTAACGTCAAAACCTAAACGTCATCGGTCATCTTTCATATGACGGGAAAGTACCATAATCTTTTACCTTAGGAGTCCTCAGCCTAACATGGCCACAAGCCAAGATCTTTGAGTTCCTGACTGTGATCCTTGAGAACTGTAGCGATTGGCGAAGAGTTATAGGTTATGTTGAATGTCACTTTGACGTTTGAGGGTTTGAGGTTTGAGAAATATTTGTAAACAAAAATATGGGCATATTTTCATTTTCATAAAATTGAATTTTTTCGAAAATTCATAATCATGGCATTTTTTGAGGTAGGTACTTGAAATGTTCTTCATCTATTCATTATTAACAATAATACATTTATTTTTAGTGGAGAAAATTTCACTTTTTTGATTTGAAAAGTGAAGTAGATGAGGGAAAAATTAGTGAATTGTTTAAGGTACGTTCAATTTCAATCAACCAAATTATCAATAGGTACCTACTGGATATATATGATATGAAGCAAAAATAATTCATCCAGAAATTTCAAGTTGCAAGTAGTGAATGCATTATACACTATACACATTAATTGGTATTGATTTTTGTCCCCAATTCTTGAATCATTTATTGTGATACCTAGTGCTAGGAGTGAACCACTGGTTCAAAAATGTACAGGTATTGTCAAATTGGCATTACGTTTAGGAAATATTGAATATATTTCCAGTATTTCTTGTTAGTGCACAACAAAATCAGTATTGTTGGTATTTCCAGGAATTCCCAAAATGTTATTTGTATTTCCTAAATATTTTCTGTATTTCCTAGTACTAGTTAATACCTGTATTCCCAGAAATATTTCCAAAATTTGGCTCACTTCTGAATGACCAGAAAATGTAGAGAAATAAATATTGGGATATACATTTTTCTTAGGAGTGTAGATAATTTATACAGGGTGTAACATGAGTACGTTAAAATATCTGAAGTATTCCTGAGACAATTTTTTGAAAAAAAGTATGTATACAGGGTGTTGGAATACAGAGAACAAATCATTTTTCCATGAACATTTCATAGGAAAAAATTAGTTTATTTTGAGGACCCCTACCACATACTTATAGTTTTGTAAATTTCTCTGCAAACTCACTTCCCTAGGAGCTAAGTAACATATACCACAGTAGAGAGTAAGTTCTCTACCGTGCATATACATTGCTATAGAAAATTGAAATATCTCCAATAAAAAATGATCACCTCCAGTGTTGTTGACGGTTGTTGAGGAAGTGTACCTTTTTCACTAGAGAAAGTTGTGGGAATAAGGTTTTCCTCTAGATACTAGATGTTATATTGACATTAATATGAAACTATGATTCCTCATGTCAAAAACCCTGGTTGCCAAATTTCGTTCAAGTAACTTATTTTTCGCAAAAGTTATTTTCAAAAAGCGAACACAAAAATTTAATTTCAACGCCTTATATCTCCGAAACGAAGCATGTCCGCACACAAGTTTATATAGACTGTTTTATCAAAATGTTATCAGGAATACGTCACTTGAATATTTAAATGTACGACTTATGTTTCACTCAAACCATGCAAACGAGAAAATTTACAATAAAAATGTCATGAACGCAAAATCAAGAACAAAATTGGTAATGATGTATACAGGGTGTCCCGAAATTAGCCTGCCAAACTGCACCAGCGACTTTTACGACCAAAAATAGAAAGAAAACTTTCAATGGTACAAGAACTAAACTTTCCATGCCCAATGCAGTGAAAGTAAAATGATTTCAAAATTTCAATCATGAGTGGGACTGCATTAAATATTGCTCAAAATTGTTTGTATGCATATTTTTCGACAATTTAATCCTGGATTATGAAATTTCTCACTATTTTACAGAGAAAAGGTACTCTTGTCCCGTGACGATCAGATGTATTATCATCGAGATATTATGCATAACCATAACATTGCAATAAGACGTGGGAATGAAAAAAAAAATGCAAAAAATTGAAGTGGTTTTTTCATCATTTTCCTATTTTTCGCGCTTTTTTGATATTGTTTGGTAAAAATGAAGTATTTCATTTTTTTATAGCCACTATGATTTGAAAATTGGCAACGTTATGCATAAGATGTGAGTGCATCAATATTTTTAAATCGATTTCACTCGAAAATGATACATCTGATCGATGCGGAACAGGAGCACTTTTTTTTGTGAAACGGTGTGGATTTTCATAATCCGAGATTGAATTGTCAAAAAATATACATACGAAAAAGTTTGAGCAATATTTAATGTAGTCCCACCCTGTATTATACACTCCTGAATGAAACTTAGAAATGATTTTATGTTCACCGCATTGGGCATAAAAAGTTTAGTTCTTGTACCAAATTGCATCATTTTATCACGTGGCGTTTCGGAAATATTCAAGAAATATCATCTTCAGGAGCCCCCTCTCAGGGGGCCGTAGCTCCCTTAGGGGACATTTCTCGACTCATGTTCATTGAAACTTTTCTTCCTATTTTTGGTCTCAGAAGCCGCTGGTGAAGTTTGGTAGGCTAATTTTGGGACACCCTGTATAAAAATAAATGATAATAGGTAGAGCATTATCCAGTACCAGTACTATTCGCGATGGAAAATAACACGTCGCCCCATCTAACGGCAACAACTAGAACAATTCTGAGCGGTTTTTTTTATGGATTCAAAATATTCGGGTTATACATGGATAACTTGTTGCATGATTACAAAAAGTGTCAGTTCAACAGTCTAAATAATAAATATTCTGTCTAACTGACAGGATTTTTACTTTTGCAGTAAGTTTGAGATGTATAACCTTGAAGATTTTGAAGTTTGAATTGTATTGGATGATTCTTTTTTGAGTAATTTTGAACGGAACGTCAAAATTTCACGACGGTCTTTGTTTGTTTGTAACGATATGACTTATGGTTACTATGGAAATTTAAATAATTCTAAATTTATGATTGGTGGCAGGGCCGGACTGGTCCGTCGGGCGATCGGGCGATCGCCCGATGGCCTGGCTCATTTTTGGCCCGCTGGCCTGGGCCTGCCTGTTGGAGCATTATTTTATACCCGATATTTGGTAGACATTCTAAATTTCATACAAACGCATGTTTATTCTACCCTGATCTAGAAAAAGTATAAAGCTATTCATTGACGTGTCTATTTCACAAGTTGCATGTAACTATGTAAGAAGTACTTTTCTAAATTAAAATTAATTCTGGATAGAGTATGAAACTGTCTGTCCCTAGATAACGTGAAGGCTTTCATATTAATATCTTCTGAAATAGTTATTTATGTATCAAGGGCGTGATGTAGGCGTCAGCCGAGGCCATTATTCCCAAAAAAAAGCCAAAACTGCAGCGTGTAATGTCTTTTTCCATTGTGACAATTTAATTCATGTACATAACATCCTAATGTAAGCCGCTGTGATTTTGTCATTATGACAGCGAAAAAATTTTACCCTAACTTTTCCAGCAACAGAACGGAAATTTAACATTTGAATGCATGACAGCCAAAACTGTAAACAAATATTTGATGGTTTTTATGTAATTTTTTCCCAAATTTGCTTTGTAAAAAAAGTATCTAATCTGTGGAAATGTCGCGATTTGGAGTCTTCTAGTGGAGAAATTGAAAAACCATAACAAAAATGTGATTTACTTATTCATTAAATTGTCTTACCAAATAACACTCAAGCATTTTTTCAGGTCGAAGTAAACTTATCATTAAAATTCGATATTTGTTGCTATTAGGATATTCAAATTTTCAGGTGAATTTGAAATCATTTTTCCCCTCTGACAAACCCAACTATCAATTTGAAGGCATTTGACCTTGAACAACAAAAAATTTCGCCTCCAGCGGTTTTTTGCTTTCTGTCAGCCCCGTGGCACGAATTACACTCTTCCCCTCTATGGAACGCGCCTCTTTTATGTTCACTAGTTTTATTTTATTTTGTTTATTTCTCTTGATATCAAAGAAGTGTATTCTGTTTCATCTCTCTTTTATACAAATCCGTTTTGCCCTTGAAAATGTAAAATCATCAACAAAACAACTACTTTGTAACGTATTAATAGTTACATAATTAATGCCCGGTAATTTCTGTTCCAATGAAACACACTAATCGTGGTACACTATACGGATTTTATTATTACTAATATCACAGACATCTGATCATGTTGCTTGCTTGGTGGACCCGACAGAAGAGAGCTCATTTTCCTATTCATGTTACTGTCGTGACCTATCTTATGTTCTGCGCATGTGCGCCCTAAACCTCAACGTCACACCCCTACACTTAAAATTTTAGTTATCCTTTCCAAGAACCTTATAATCTTGTGATTTGTTTGTACCTAATAATTGTTGAATCTTATGCGTGACGCTTTACAATTTTACTTTCCTACTCTCTATATATATATACATATATATCTATCACATTTTGTATGAATTAAAACCTAATACCTGTCGGATCCCTTCAATTTAAAATTTTCCAAAAAGATGACAAAACAATAACACAATAAAATATCACAATTTACAATATTTTTGTTTTTGTTCGACTTTCGTGTATACAATATTATTTGACTTTACAGTCCCTATTCAGACTCGCTGTCTGTGATGTAGTCTTCCAAATGCCTTGGTTTCTTTCTTCTTCTTTTCGGCCTGTTGGTTCCACTTGTAGAAGATTCCTGGGGGTTGCCTTCTTCCTTTATTGATTCTCTAGTAGATCCACTGAGATGTTCTGCTGTAGAACTCTCCCCTTCTTGAATGCTTCCTCTCCTTCCTTCTTGCTCTTCTGTCGGGTCCCTGTTGGAGAGAGAATTTTTGTTAGTTTCGCAGCTACTATACTCGTCATCAGACGAGTTGTCAGATTTGTTATGTCTAGTTATGTCCGTTTTTGTTTCACTAACGTCGTCATTGTCTGTCTCTTTTGCAAGATTATTGTCATCACAGTCTGTAAAACCTTTACCGTTTTCAACACTCTTGTCAATGTTAATATAGTTTCTAACACTACTAGCCCTATCACTATTAATTTTGATAGCTTGTCTTACTCTGTTCTCTTCTACCGGTGGTTGAACAATAGGAATGTATGGTATTGGCTGGATGTTTCTAGAAACCCTGGATGGTGTTTTCTCTGTGGTGTTTCTGCCCCTGCCAAGACCTGAATTTTCCTCTGTTCCTGCTGACCTCCTGATTATTTGGTTTGCATGCCTCTTCCAAATTTTGTCATTTTCTCGTAACCTACATAGGTATGTTGTGCTTCCTATTTTTCTTTGGATACTGGCTGCTGTCCATCTAACTTCATTTCCCCATCGATAATCCCGAATCATCACTTCTTCTTCCATGGTAAATCTTCGTTGATTCCCACTTCTATAATATTTGGCTTGTTTTTCTTGACTTTCCTTGATGTTTCTGTATGCTTCAGTTTCAATTTGGTTCCCATTTATGCTAGATGCTTTCAACAGATCAA